CTTGGATTTGGTTTCGGGTTCAAGTTCTACCTTGAAAAGAGGTTGAGGCTTTCTTTCTCTATTCAAAATGTTAATAACATTTTTTACATTAAAACCTTTCTCCATCAGTGCTCTTGTAACTTCATCTGGTGTTACTTCCGGCTCGATACCTTTTAGTACTACTTGCTGGCCTTACTTCTTTTTAATTGGTACGTGTAGAAGTTTTTATTATTGTCGTTTAAATACTTCGACAAAATTCTGTAGTTTGCTTCCGTATTAGTCTGAACTTAGTATCGAGTTTACGAGAGCATTCGAACTTTTCTCACGGATGTAAATCGGCGGCGGCTTAGGCTTTTTGTTGTCCCCTACGATGACTTCAGGAGGTGTATCATCGGATTTATCTGCCAAAATAGCAAATCTATTTGCTTTTAGGGGCTTCTATATTGTAGATTTGAGGTGCCTCGAGTTATTTTACCAGAGTTACCAAGAGTGTTGGTCTAAGGCTGAACATGGCTGAATTACATCTTACTGAGAATTTCCTGTTGTATAGGTATGACTTCAGAAGTTTGTGAGTGTTTGTGAGTCTAGAGTTCTGCGGGCTAAGCTTTCGTTGTATTTGTATGTAGCGATCCATACCAGTCTGTACGACCGAACGTTGTTTTGAAGGGGGCACGCTGGTGTAAGGTGCTGCATTATTTGCTTGCACAGCAGTTTCCGATATTACGGTAGATGGTATTGCGCGAGCAGTCGATACCATTGTAGTTGTTGTAATAGTTGCCGTTGCAGTTGCTAATGACGTCACTGTACTGGTGACCGTGGCTATGCAGGCAGGCATGAGGGAAGGGTATGGGGTTTTATCCAACGAGAGCGCAGGAGAGCAAGAACGCGCCCTGCCTTGCGATGTTGGATAGAGTTCATTACTCGGGGTTGGGGTTATTGATCGCGGTTGGTTATTTTTTGTTGGGTTTGCGGTCGCGTTGTCTTGCGTTGACACGAATGAGTGGTATGCGTTCTTACGTAGCAAAGAGAGTCGACGCTCGTCTTGCTGACGTTGGAGCACCGTATGAGTGTCGAATTCACTCATAGCTTAATGTTTTTGATTTTTTTATTTTTTATTTACACAAAAAGTACGAAGTTCATCGCACTAAGCGTCTTTTCGCCCACTGTGTATTTTTGTTTAGAGCTTGCACTGCACTATGCTTAGTTTTTGTTTAATTTTCGTTGCACGATAAGAAGACAAAAAGAAAGCACGTCTGCACCACTATCATAAAAAATTTGCCTTAAACTACCTATACCTACCTATCTTTAAATATAAAACTAAACACTGGAAACCAACTTACTCTAGCCACAGTATACTACCCCCTCGCTTCATTATAGAGTTTTAATTGATCATTGAAGATGAGTTTATGTATTTCTTAACTTTCTAGAAGACTGGGGATCTCGTCTCGTGAATCCAAACTGTCTCGACTATATATCTATATATATGGCACACCAATATACTGGCCGGCAGACCCAAAGAAACTACCCAATTTACTAGACTTTCCGATTACCAAAAACATTCCTCAAAATTTGATAAGCTCTGATCACTTGCCTGTCTTGTTTGATCTACGATCTTACAGGAATATTGAAACAATCATTAAAATTGACCTCTCAGAAAACCAATCGTGTTAAGTACAGAAAGCGTATTAGCTCACACGTAGACAGCTTTGTCAATTTACTGGAGCTCACTCGTACTCGTCTCTGCAGCTCGAGCTTCAACACCTCATACTATAAATACACAATGCAACCAAAAGTAGACAAATCCACAAATCGAATAGCTCGTCCTCGAAAATCAGCGCTTATGTCGAGAATTGCAATTCAGAAGGTGGCTGGGCGCGCAGCGATGCAGAAAGAGCCAGCACGGGGGCCAACCACCTTAAAAACCTTCTAACCACCTTCAAACCAAATCCTGCCACTAGTTCGTTTTTTTCCGACTTTACCATATGAGCCTCAGCTTCAACATGAGCCAATTCAGTGACCAAACGAAATCGTTAACATCATTAAAAATAAACTGAATCCAAAAAAAGTCCCCGGGCTGATCATTAGGCTCCGAAATTGCACTGTTCGCTCTATCCCCCAGCTTTTCAATGCCATCGAGGTGTGACATAGCACACCTCGACAGAAGACCCACATGGCGCCGGCACATTGAAGCCAAAAATAACACAGTTAAAGCTAAAATCCAGCAGCCTTCATTGGCTAAGAAACGCTCGGTCTCCCCTTATCCTTGAATATAAAGTCCTGCTGTATAATTCGGTACCAAAACCTATATGGATGTACGGCTTCCTGTTATGGGGGAATGCCAGCCATAGCAATATTGACATAGTCCAGCGAGCTAAGTCGAAGATTATGAGTGTTTTCTTTTAATGTTAAAAAGAAAACGTAAGATTCGTAAGCTTAATGTTAGTCAATAAAGATTCAATAAATAAAAGCAACATAAAATGAAATTATCATTTTATTTTTCAACGAGGTTATCAAGCTAGGAAGGTTCAAGCCAATCAAGCTAAGAAGGTTCTCTTTGCTGCTAAATATCGTGGTCTTCCCACTTTTTTGAATGATCAAAATGGGGATTTTAGAAAAGCAAAAAACCTTTCTTATACTAAGCCTTTTTTGATTTGAGGTGCATTGAAAATTGAGATTATTTTTTATAAATAAATAGATAGTACAATAGAGCAGGTAAATAGATCGACCTTCTTGTATAAGCAAGGATGCATAAAAAATCTTTATAAAATGTAATACTTTGTAAATGTAAATACCTACAAACCTTAAAACGTTTTTTTTTTTTTTTTTTTAATTTATGTTAAATGAGATATCTACTTTATAGAAGAATTTTTATATACATGAATGTCGGGACTTGCAGCCGCTTATAATTCGGCCAACTAAGACAAGTCTTGGAAAATCTAACCGAAGTTCCATTTCTGACGTCACATTGCATTTCTGAACTTTCGATCGACCTTTTACTCAATCGACCACCTGTACTTGTCCTCTTGTTCGGGACTGTCTCTCTAGTTCGCACTCTTTCGTTTCGTTTTCGGTCGCTCCGCTGATATTTGTAAAACGTCGAACCACACTCGCGAACCGCTCAGAATCTGGATCGTTCCATCTAGCTTACATCTAAAATAAACAGAGCTCGCAAATAACAGTTGACCGTTTTTCGTGTTTCGGTCTGCTCACTAACACAACAAAAAAAGACAATACTCGTGTGCTCTCGCTCTGAACTGAACTATTCGTTGCTCCTTGTTTTTGTTTTCGGTTAACTGTTCTCCGTTAAGGGGTTGTTTTTATGCTCACTCAACAACAACCTAGAGTGAGCGATTCAACTGAACGCTCACTCATTGAGAGTCAGCTGATGAGCGAAAAAACGAAAAACTCATCGTAAATGGTCTTTTGATTTTAGTAGAGTTTAAATAACGTTTAGTAACAGCTTTAACATATTTATTAAATCTTAGCATTATATTTATTATTTATTCAGTATTTAGCTTAACAACAAGTAGAGAATTTAAAGTTTCTGCACTTAAAGAGCTTCGTCGCTCGCTTAAAATGTAGTGAAGCGCTGAAAAAGCCCTCTCAACAGTCACCTGAGTCGCTGGTACAGTACAACGTGTGCGAGCGCACTCAGATGGGGCGACTGCAGTTTTATATCATTATCATTTACATATGTCTTACAACATGTAAATTACAAGTCATTCGCATATACATACACTCATACAAAGGCAAAAGACTTTTATTTTCTTCGCTCGTTGCAAAATGGTCAGCGAATGACCAGAGCAAAAAGGACATGCAAAATTTGTTTTTGGTTGAGCACAGACCGTTCGTTCAGGAGTCACAGGTGAGCGGTTCTAGTGTGACATTTTGCGCACCTGGTGTGTAAAAAACAGTTTTTTGGTGACTACAAGAAACTGTCAACTGTTATTTGCGAGCTCTGAAAATAAATATAAACAAGAAAGGAAAGCTAACTTCTGGCGGAGCCGAAGTTGATATACCTTTGCAGGTAAAACCGGATATACAGATATCGCAAACATGGGATATAGTTGGCCGATCCTTATGGGAATACGAATATATAATCCAATTTATTACAATACAAAATCTAAACAAGAAAGGAAAGCTAACTTCAGGCGAAGCCGAAGTTTATACACCCTTGCAGTTAAAACCGGATATATATCGCAAACATCGGATATAGTTGGCCGATCCTTATGAGAATATGATAATATAACCCAATTTATTATAATACAAAATTTAAAACAAGTCCCAAACTTCTATCTTTAACAATAACAAAGTTGGTATTTCTACCAAAAACCATTTCCGATCGTTCAGTTATATGGCAGCTATAGGATATAGTCGGCCGATCCTAATGAAATTTGATAGGTTGGATCAACTGATCAAAAATAGAATCTGTACTAAGTTTCAGCTTTCTATCTTCAAAAACACGAAAGTTGGGTCATTTTCGATCGTTCAGTTATATGGCAGCTATAGGATATAGTCGACGATCCTTATAAAATGGCATGTCGTAATATTTTGCCAAAAATAGCTCTTGTGTCAAATCTTGAACATTCTTACTCTAAAAACACCAAAGTTATACCATTTCCGATCAATCAGTTATATGACTATATAGGATATAGTCAGCCGATCCGGGCCGTTCCGATTTGTATACTGCGTGCAAAGGAAAGAAGGGTGTGTGCAAAGTTTCAAGACGATAGCTTTAAAACTGAGAGAAAAGTTCGCGTAGAAACAGACAGACAGACGGACATGCTCATATCAACTCAGGAAGGGATCCTGATCAAGAATATATATACTTTATAGGGTCGGAGATGTCTCCTTCACTGCGTTGCACACTTTTGACCAAAATTATAATACCCTCTGCAAGGGTACAATAACTACAATTTCGGGATTATTCTTGGAATGGATTTTTAACTTTACAATGCTTTATAACTTTACAATGAATATTTTCATATTTGATTCATATATGAGCATAGAATAAAACTTACCGCAAATTTCGGAAATCCAAAAAGTAAGACAAAAAAATTTATAAAATCGCACAGAAATAACAATGTATACACATCAGTCGATAATCTGGCCTTATGTCGTAATGTTAAAAAAAATTTGTAAAAGCCAGACAAAAATCCTCCTTTGTGCCTGAAAAAAATGTAAACATTTGAGTATAATTCATATTTACCAAGAAAGGAAAGCTAACTTCGGGCGGAGCCGAAGTATACATACCCTTGCAGTTAAAAACGGATATATATCGCAAACATCGGATATAGTTGGCCGATCCTTATGAGAATATGATAATATAACCCATTTATTATAATAAAAATTCTAAAAAAAGTCCTAAACTTCTTTCTTTCTTCAAAAGTTGACATTTCTACAAAACCATTTCCGATTGCTCAGTTATGTGGGAGCTATAAGATATAGTCGAAATCGTTATGAAATTTGGTAGGTCGGATTAACTGACAAAAAATAGAATTTCTACCAAGTTCCAGCTTTCTATCTTCAAAAACACAAAAGTTGGGTCACTTCCGATCGTTAAGTTATATGGCAGCTATAGGATATAGTCGGCCGATCCTTATGAAATTTAACATGTCGTAATGTTTTGCCAAAAACAGCTCCCATGTCAAATTTGAACTTGCTAACTTTAAAAACACCAAAGTTATACCATTTCCGATCAATTAGTTATATGGCAGCTGCCGATCTCGTCTGCCGATCCCGGTCGTTCCGACTTATATACTGCGTGCAAAGGAAAGAAGGGTGTGAATATTTTAAAATCGATAGTTTTAGGCATGCAGACAAATAGACGGACGGACAGAAGGAGTGGATTATGGACAGATGGTGATCCTGATCATAATATTTATAATTTATAGGGTCTGATATGTCTCCATTAGTTAACCCTGTAAGGGTATAAAAATAAATTTTGTTTTATTTGTAAAAATTTTAAGCAATATTTAAATTTAACAAATTTATTTTATTAATGTATACTATTATGTATAATATATTAAAAATATCAATATATCAAACGCGCCCAGCTAGGTGTACAACAATCGTAAAGGACTTTGTATCGGGGCAAACTGCTTTCCACCAGTCGACATTTTGCAAAAACAGTCCAAAAACATTCATTTGATTTGACCTGGCTTGCGTCAAAGCCCACATAGTTTATTTTAAGTCCGAAAATTTCCATACAACGAGCACATACAAAGAACATGCGAGCAAATCTCATTTCCTCTGGCCCAGAATTCGAAAGTTTTTAAAACTGGTAGGACAATAATAAACGAGACATTATAGATGAGTTCGTAGGTTTTTATTTTCCTCTAGTAACCTCTACTAAACTTGCCAGTCATACAAATCACACTCTTACATGGCAGTAAAAAACAGTTTTTGGCAGTCACTCATTACAGTTTTTGCATACTTTAATAAAAAATTCAGTAGGCTTGCCTTATTACTTTGGTTATCGTTAATTTTTGATCGTTGTTAATTAAATTGTGTTATGCTCACATGACATTTGGCACTAAGACTAAATAAATGAGTCAAAACGCCAAAAACAAACAAACGTCACTTTTTTCTGATTTAAAATAAACGTAAACGTAAATTGCTGTCGCAAAAGCATTTGTGTTCAAGCATTGAACACTATTTTATATACAAATTTGTAAGTTAGAGTTTCAAGGGATCGGACCCATTAAATAAGAGACAAACAGGATGGTCTAAAAACGATCCCCTGCAGCCTAACATAACAAACACAAACATAAGCATCATAAATAACACAAACATAAACGCATCCGCTTATCGCACTTGGGAAAGGGTCGCATAGCATGTAAACGTGCAGTGCGTTGATAAGTAGTTTTAAATAGGTTTAAGATTTTCATGTATCTTACTTATAAGAGAAGTGTACAGAATAAAATCAGTTTTTAAACGGAACTCATTGGAGTACGACCTTTATTTTGGGGCTCCTCTTAACATTTGGTCCTTCGAGACAGCCTGACATTTTCCCCCCTGCGGTAAGAGACTCAGGTCAATTCTCAGCCCAAGGTAGCTTAAAAATAAAGGCTGCGATCTGGGTAAAAAAGAACCCAGTTTAAAAACCGTAGTCCTCTGTTGTTTCCCCCCAAGAGGTAAGGAACACAGGGTATAAAATAATATAAATGCCAATGAGCATTAAAAAAGATAAAGAGAAAAATATTTTCCTTTCTACAGTGTGTTTTTATTTCGGAACAATACCGAGATAAAAAATTATATGCAAATCAACGAAAAAGTATTTGTGTATTAGCGTAACCGAGGCTTTACATCGGAAAAGTTAAAAAATATATATATTTGTGTTGGCGTATCCGAGGCCCTACATCGGAGAAGGTAAAAGTTAAAAAAAAAAAACTGATTGTGAGCGACAAAAAATAAATAAAAAAGTAAAACACCAAGGAACCCCCAAACAACATCCACAAAAAGTAAAACCCCAAAGAACCCCCAAACAACATCCACAAAAAGTAAAACACCAAAGAACCCCCAAACAACATCCACAAAAAGTAAAACACCAAGGAACCCTCAAACAACATCCACAAAAATTAAAACACCAAGGAACCCTCAAACAACATCCACAAAAGTTCATCATCAGGAGCAGCAACGGCGGCAACAACATCAGGAGCATCAACGTCAGCAACACAACATCAGCAGCAATAATTAGAAAATAGTCCTCGGCAAGTTTCGTTTTTATTTTTTATATACTTGAATTGTGTTTTGGAACTTAATTAATAAAAAAAAAAAAAATTTAAATATGTCAACTAAGGATAAAATCCCCATTATTGAAGACCAGGTGCTCCTCACCCGGCAAATAGATGCGCTTCTCGCAAAAAATTCTTATTTAAAAGAGGACAGCGAAATATTAAAAAAATTGGAGCAAAAAGCAATTGCTAACCATAATTATTTGATTAAACTAGGTCCAGTAGACCATGATTATTTTAAAGCAAATCATTACGATAGCATGCTATCGAAATTTAAGCTCGCAAAGGAAAAAATTAGAAAATATATTGGCCAGAAGGAGCTTTTTTTGAGGCTTGAGGGGGCAATAAAGAACCTCGAGGATTGCCTCGAGAAAACTTACATAGAAATTCAGGAAAGGAAAAATGAAACCTTTCCAATAAGGATTAAAAAATTAATAATGTTGCTAAACAAAGTAGATACAAAGTAGTAGATAGCGATTTAATAAAAATAGAAGGGCTCAATAATAAATATATGAGCAAAATTATAGAGCTCAAAGATGATGTTGAAATACACATCGAGCTAATGGATAATAAAATGCAAGAGAAAACTATTAATAAGGTAGAAGGTGGTAGCCCTAGAATGGACGAACTACCTAGCCTACCAAAAATTGAGGTCCCCAATTTCTCTGGAAATTCCAAAGATTGGGACCATTTTTATGAGTTATTTAAGGAGCTGGTTCATTCAAGAACGGATTTAAGTCCATCCTTGAAGCTAAGCTACCTTAAAAGTGCTCTAAAAGGGGAAGCACGAAATGTGGTTTCCCATTTATTGCTTAGCTCAGGCAATAATTACGATGCTGCCTGGGAATTACTCATTAAGCGATATGAGAATAATAGGAAAATATTCTCAGATCAGCTTAATCGCCTCATTGAGCTTCCAAAAATAAATTTGGACTCATATAGGCACCTTAAAAATATAATTGATTCAATCAATGAATCAATTTATATGATGCGCCTAAAAGCAAATCTGACCGAAGAATTAGATTGCATTTTTGCGCATATTATTTTAAAAAAATTAAGTATTGAGGCTCTACAGCAGTATGAGGGCCATGTAAAAAAATCAAGTGAAATTCAAAATTTAAAGGATGTCACAGACTTTTTAGACCAACGGCTTAGTTCGTTGACATCAGTGGGAAATGAGATCCCAACAAAAAAAATAATAAAAAATATTTACACAAGTGACCAAACATGCCCGATGTGCCAAATGCCCGGGCATCAATTAGTTTATTGTTACAAATTTAAAGCTTTAAGTCCACAGGAAAGAAGGGACGTTGTTAAAAAATGGAACTGGTGCCACCTATGTTTAAAGCACAGTTCAAACATCAGATGTACAAGCGAGCTAGTGTGCTCGTATTGTCAAAATAATCACCATAGCATGATTCACATAAACAACGCAATAGTGAATACGTGCATGACCTCTGAACAAGTGTTGTTGGCAACCGCTTATGTTCAAATAAAAGGTCAAGATGGTGAATTTAAAAAATTCAGAGCTTTGATTGACAATGGGTCACAAAGTACTTTAATTTCTAAAAAGGTAGCTCAAAAATTAAAATTGCCTAAAATAAAATATACCACACAAATAAATGGAGTATCACCATCAGGTTCCTGTGTTTCAAATCACAAATTAAAATTGACGCTCAAGAATAATAGTAAATATTCAAAAGAATTTAGCACAAATGCAATTATTATACCAAGTTTAAAACAAACTCTTCCCACAAATAATGTAAATGTAAATAAATTTGATTGGAAAGGCTATTATTTAGCCGATCCCAATTTCGATAAACCTGGCCAAATTGATCTGATAATTGGTGCAGATTTATATCCACAAATTATTATGCCGAAAATAGTAAAAAGATGTTTACTTCTTGGACAAAAAACGATTTTCGGATGGATCGTGTCAGGTCGCACAAGATCTAATTCCATTAAAAAGTCGATTATTTCTACAGTCTTGGTAAATACAATCCAAGATTGGAGGATAGAAAGAGGAAAATATGTGGAACCTTCGATACAAAAATACAAGGGTAAAAAAGAGTTTAAAAATAAAAAAGAATTTGAAGTTGTCCGACCAAAATACAAAATCTGTAATTTATCGTGGTGTCCTTTGGGGAAACATAAAATATTTCAGGAAGAAAGGGACTTCCCAATCGAACTACCGAACTGAGCGGACGTGCTTTGTCCGAGCTCCGGGAAAACTTCACTTCGCTTATATTTTCGCCAATATAAGCGAAAAGACACTGAAATACAATTTATTAAAAGCGACAGACAAGCTTTTTTTTTTTTTTTATAACAGTTGTAATGTGCTAAACCAAAACTAGTGCATTGTTGAAAAAAAAAAATACGTACCACGCAATGAGCTCATTGAGCAACGACCAAAAGAACGAGCGTAGAAGTTCA